TCTCTTCTACTCTTCTCTCTTCTGATCTTTCTCTTCTCTCTGCCTCTGCCCTGCTCTGCTTTTCATCTGTCCATATTGTCGGAAGTTTGACTTCTAAACTTCCTTCGAATATAAAATGAATATACTGTGGTTTCAAATTGTCAATCCGTCCAGGTTGGCTTTTGCATAGCAAGGATGTAAGTTGTCTGAACAGGCATCAGACTGGCTGAAGGAACTGCCTCAAAGTTATTTATCCGGGCAACTATGAATTGGGCATGTTTTTTTCTACGTAGGTTAACAGAAACTATAAGGGTTATCACTTTGTTGCCGCCCTGGTGAATCAGCCAGGGTCGAGGACATTCTAGGCCAAGCCAAGGACCAATGCTTGAAGTATCCATTTCCAGCTGGAACTGATGAAAAAGATCAGAAGCGATTGCAGACCTTGAAAGTGCGTCAAGAGCGCATCCAGAAGGTGGTCCATGAAGAAGAAAAAGACTGGGAAACCGGGAAGGTGTCATGGCTGCACTGGGAGCTGTGGCTTTGAACTGAGAGCAAACAATACAGGATGATACAGGATGTGTAACAAGTTATAAGTGACAAATTATGTAGTTGAATGATGTTGAATGGCATGAACTAAATGGCATATATGAATCAAACACCTGGCTCCAGCGACTCCACTCCGACTCCTTCTGGGTGCCTAATAAGCTAATAACCCAAGACATCGTCCCCGATGGCAGAAATGGGTGGTATTAAACTGTAAAGCCGATATTTTCATCCAAAATGTGGTGTAAAAACCATGGTGTTTACCATCAATCCATTGGACGGTCGCATTCCGACTTCGGCGCCATTGGCGCAATCCGATTGTCTCCGAGGTCACCCAACTTTTGCCGTGGACAGCGACTTGGCTCTGTTTCTGACAGAAATTGCAGGGGAATTATTAGGTGAATTTGTTGTTGAATTTTGATACATAAATGACATAAATTGTGCTATGTTTTTCTCATGGCCGTTTCTTTTTTGCCATGATTTTGCCAGTTTAGCTGAAGCATGGTTTCGATTCATTGCACCAAGCCCATCTGACTTGACGAGGACAGATATCGATTAGGTTTTGTCACCAAGCACAACTCCGACAAATTGCTGGGCGTGACCTTGCGACAAGGAAAACGAGTCGTCAAGCAGGTGGACTTTATCGAACGGGATGCGAGTGAAGCGTCACTTGGCAAAGGTTGTTTTGGAGAATTCATTGCTGGGTCCTTGCTGCTTGGACCTTGGTCCATATCTATGATATGTGATATATAATATGTAATATATAATATATTGGTTAATATAATATGTAGTATGTATATGAGCTACAGCCAAAATTTAGGTTAATGGAGAGTAGTATTCGAGCGGTCTCTATTTTTTGGAAAGTAAGCTGGGGCTTGGAAAACGAAAAGACACTCTTCAAAAAGTGATGACTTGGAGCTATATACCAAATATTGACCGTGGCCCATATGTGTATATATATATATATCATACGTATCATATCATGTCACACCATGTCATATGATACGATATACAGTGATATACATATATGATATAATATAAATACATTACATGTAACCATCTACCAGTGGGTGGTGCTTTAAGAGTCTGTAAAACGTGTGTTTCCCGTGGCTGACCCCAAGGGCGTCCGATCGAGAAGTTTTTCAGCCTCCTTCATCATCATGTCTCTCACCTACGGACTGGCAAACGGCAGAGTCGATATGCAAACGCTTGTTGATTGGTAAGGGATATGCTGGCATTCCAATGTATTTCAGAGAAATGTCAATAGTTGCCACTACATTTCTAGCATTCACTAGTGGTTGATGTGAAATTTACTCTTAAAAAAACTCTTAGTATGTTTTTTTGTGTTTTTTTGTCAGAAGCAACGTTGCAGAAGCAATGACAGTCGCAGGAGTACCATGATGTGGTGGGCGAGATTGACCTGAAACCACCGCATCAGAGATCTTCTGCCTTGAACGACCTCCTATTGATGTTGTCGAGCCAGGATCCCATCAAGGAGACCGGACCGGAGATCGGTGATGCTCAAGGATGGTGCAGGTTACAACGGTTTTCTGGGAGGCCAAATTTCGATCTTTTACTGAACAGTATGTTCAACGAATTATGGGAATTCTAGATATAGTAACTTAGTAGTTTGGAAGAGTCCCATTTACAAACCTGTCGAAGCTTAAAGATGGAGAAAAAAAGAAAAAAAAAGTGCAGTGCCAGTGAGGTATTTTTTTCATCAATTCCAGGCAGGACATGGCCGGACATGGCCACAGGTTCCCTTCTTTCGTCCCAGTTGATACCATTTGGGGGGGGATAACATGGGATAACCATCCATTAACCAGCTATTTTAGGGTACCAGCGCACCAAGGTTTTGACATGTTTTGACTCATAGCCACATCTCTTTTTGCGTTCTACGGTTTTTTGTTGCTGTTGCCTCCTCTCCGCATTGACTCTTTAAGTGGTGTTTTGGATCGGTGAAAGTTGACAGGAACACTGAAAATTCCAAAAAAATGCTCGAGCTTGAACATGTAGAACAAAATTGAACTATATACAAACATCAACGAGGCCCGAGTTCACAATTTGAGTTCAAACATGTTCAAACATTCTCCAAGTATCTCCAAGTGGGGAAGGTCAGAGTTTCAAAGAAATAGACCATCTTATAGAGGGGCCCCTTTTTCTCCATTGTTTCATGTCAATCTCCATGCCACCAGGACTGGACTTTGCCAGTCCTGTTGCTTCAGAGCTGTTTGCTACCTGGAGACATTGCTGTGATGCTTGAAGATCCTGACCCTCCGCACCATGGCAACATATGGCGACACCATGGCACCACTTCAGTTAGACTCTCACCGACTCCCATCCTCACATGTCAATGACTTGTATGATCTATCATTTGGAAATTAGGGATTATTATCTATCTATATCATTACCTATGATTATCTATCAACAATAATGATCATTCGTCCCACAGCTTCACTGGTGAAGCTGATCTCCTTAAATTCCAGGCAGATTGAGCGTTGGCATCACATCGCCTTTGACTACTCCGCAGTCGCGGCCAGTCCCGCGGGCCATGTGAGTCGAAGTGAAGGTCGCTGAGTTTTTTCCATGGGAGTACCACCAATCGCTGGGTGGTTTACTTGTGTGTATTTATTTCATGGAGAATCCTACTAAAAATGGAAAATCCTATGAAAATGGATGGTTTCAAAATGGATTATTTTTTGTTAGCCCTATTTTGATAGGATTTTCCAGGAAATAAACCATCCAGCTATTGGGGTACCCCCATGACTTTGGAAGCCTCCATTTCTGAAACAAAAATCAATGGATTTCATGAGTGGTGGGTTAAAAAAATTGGAACATCTTTCAACAATTCCCAGCACATCCCATGTTTTTCCTGATGGATATGGAAGCCACTTTGGGCCGCACACTTAGAGCCGCGGACCCTGACAGGAACCATATGGATCAACATGGAGAATCGCGCCTTCCGGCTGAACGGAAATGCGAAAAACACCAAAGTGGGTGAACTGCATATTGATTTGTTGGTGCATGGTGCAGAAAATCCAACCATCTACGCCAACATTGTGCTTGAAGATGAATCTGAACACGAGCCCCTCGGAGATATCAGCAGAAGGTGATGGTAAAGGTAACGGCCACTGACAACTGGCTGATGAGCATGTAGTAATTTGCTGTACTATGGTACAGCATGTCCGTGACCCATTTGAACTCGACATAGTGGCATACAGTCTACGGTATCGAGGATAGACCGACCCTTTCCGCGAATCGCAGTAGTTTGCTTGACAACCATCCCACCACAAATTTTGCGCCGTCGTTAAGGTGTCAGCAGTTTGACTATCCGACCTTGACGGATGATCCAAAAGAGGAGCTGGAGGTATCTGCGAAGCATCCCTTGCAGTTCTTCTCCATCAGTGACGTCGATGGTGAGGACGTAACCGCAGTAACCGCAGGTTCCCGACATAATTTTCCGGAGAATGATGCTGGAACAAATCTGCAAGATGAAGGGATTAGGCAATTGTGAGCCATGATCAATGATTGCAAATCCAACGTCACTGATAGTTCGGTCCCGACCAGAGCAGTTTGTTGCTTTTTCCACTTCTTCCGGACACTATTGGTATACAACAACTCTAGATAATGAGACTTGGACTTGGAACATAGAATATTAATGAATATTATATATATACATATAATATTTTGTACATACATACATATATATAGTTTATGTTGTTCCAGCTCAGAAGGTCTGACATGTTTGTCCAAGTTCACTACAGTGACATACAGTGACAATGTTTCCCAGAAATGGATGAAAGGAACACATTTTGGGCTCAGAAACCCTGCTTTCCTGTAGAATTTGCCTCACATCAATCCATTGAATTTCATATTTGTTGGTTACGTCCCCAATTTTGATGGCTGAATCCTTATTTTTGTTGGTTAAGTCACGTGAAATCCCATATGTAATGTTTGATGTTTTTTTCCAGTGCATGTGGCATCCAAATTGGACACAGCATCCGCAACGGTGAACAGGACTGCGGCATTTTTATCGCTCCCTTGGCTCGTGGTCGCTGGCTCCATCTGTGGGTAGATATGGAGTCGGACAACCCGGATGCTTTTCTGAGGTTCCGAGATGTGGGTTATCCATGGTTATCCTCAAATTTTTAGGGAAAAACATGGGAAAACATCCAAAGCCCGAATGGACGCATTCAAATGATCAGTTTTCCCAAGTTTTCTTCAGCTTTTTGGGGGTATACTCGATTTTCAGAGACCCATGTCGCTGGTCTACATGGTGAACAACTGGGGTTGCTTTCATTCGTACAACTAGGCTTGTCGTGCCGGCATTGACGTTGGGATCTGATGTGACCACTCTATCTATAGCATACTATAGCATACTATAGCTATATACTGACCGTATTTACCCCACTAAGTGGAACTGTATCTCCAAGTATTTTTCTGTAAGTGGTTAAGAACCCTATTAATATTTTGGTATTTTCTGCAGATTGTTTCATCATGAAATGCTGGGAGATAACTATGGTGCGGGCGGAATGTGGAGAGTGGCATTGATGTACATGAATGAGAATCACCAAGTGCCACACAGAAGGAAATAAAGGACACAACATTTCTCAAGACGTGGTCTTAAATCAATGTGATCCATGTTCCTTTCGTTTGTCTCTAGGGCTCAGATTTCCGGTCCCCTGCGTTCGAACCGCGCCAGGTCAGAAATTCATCATGATGGCGCGGTTTTGCGCTCCACGAAGGTCTTGAAATGGAGAACTGGCGAAGATGTCCCAGTGCATGTCGAGCCCAAAGCAGACGCTCAGCGAACCAAAAGCGAGATGAAAGCAATGCAGAGATGGAGACTATGATAGATCATAGATGATGGGCTTCTGAAGAAGCCAAATGTGCCATCACAAGTAAATTCAGATACCACAATTTTGGTTTCACGTTCCAAACTCATGTCTCTAACGATTTGTTTAGACGCGTGTAACGCCAACAGGGCAAGCCAATGATGTTTGAGGTGGGCTTATTACAAGAAGGCTCAGGTATGAAGTATGAGTCGTTGGTTACCAGTAATTCCTTGGTTGTTTTTGGACACAAACTGTACCCATTCTCCATTTTAAGCAACTTTTAGATCTTAAATTATAGACCTATACAGATGGCCTAGTTATATCAATATCGTCGTGTACGATGACATACGATGACACCTATATTATACACCGATGCTGAAAGTAAGGTCACTTTTCATGCACAGATGCCTTGAAAATTAAGGTTATGTACTTGTCATTTGTTTATCATTCACCTATCATTTACTGTCTCTCTACTTGTCATCCGCTTCCCATTTACCTTTAACTTACAGTTCATCATTCACTTGTCTTGTTATCATATATATTTGTAATGTTTTATGATGATATTATTTACCCATTTGTTCATTTCATCATTTATTTGTCAAAAACTCATTGTCATTCACTTATTCTTTACTTGTCATGTACTTGTTCGTTACTACCTTACTTGTTGTTTACGTATGATCAACTTATCATTTCCTTGGCATCTACTTCTCATATTCTTATCATCTACTTATTTACCTATCATTGACCTCCTTATCAGTCTCTTATCATGTCCCTATTATCTACTCTTCATCCACTTCTCTTTGTCTTATCATCTACTTATTCTTGACCTATCATTGACAAAGATCATTTCCTTATCATCCAAGGCATTCGCATTCGCCACTCCTTGCACCATTTTAAGGCCTGGCATTGCACAGCTGATGAATCCTCTTCGCGCTTCGCGGCATTGGATATCCGTTCGATGCATCAGAAGTCTATCCAGCTAGAGGTGACGATGGATCTGGGAGGGCTGACAATGGTGAATGATGGTGAATAGTGGTTAATGGTTAATGATAAATATGATAATGGTTAATAATAATGGTTATATAATGGTTCATAGTGATTGGAATAATGATGAATGATGAACGGTTATTAATGGTTAGTCATTTGTAGTGGTTAATGGTTAGTCATAGTGGTTTAATCATGGTTAATAGTGCTTAACAATGGTCAATAATGACGATTAGTGATGATTTACTGGGATTGAACGGGATATTCAATTGGGATATATAATCATGAAAATATTTTGACGGGTGAAATCCACCATAGTTCAGCTTCGATGTTTTCGGATATGTAGAATTGATAATATGTGTACCATCATTTTAATGGAGTATAGTTAATGGCTAAATTTATTAGAATATCTTTTTGGGGAGATGTAATGGGGATATGCAACCAGATATATCTACAGTTCAATTAAAATCAATACGATATATTTAATGGTATGATATTTTTGGTATATAGTTCCAATATGTTCGATATCATTTCAGATCCTATGAGGTGGTTTGGAGATTTAATGGTAGAGTGTTTCAACTTCAATGTTTTGAACATGTGTCTAAAAATGGAGGTGTAAAACCGACAATACTATGTACCAATATGTATATATGGGGATATAATTCAGATGCAATGGGATGTATCTAGAGCTTAACTCGGGCATTTGGCAATTTAGTAGAGCAAATATATGCAAATATGGGATGTTTAATCGGGATGTGTATATGATGGAATGTAGAAGATAAGATGTTTTATATGTTTTTTTAGGTATTTATTCCCACCTGCCAGGTGAGGGTCTGTAGATTGGAACAAAGGTGCAACTCCCTCACTCCTTCTCCTTAACCTCTGTCTTCCCCGCCGAATCACTCCTATCTTCCTCCCGGCTCCGGATGCAGTGGGCCACACCTGGGCCCAAACTGCATATCGCCGGCTCCGGATGCTGTGGGGCATGCCTAGACCCAAACTGCACATGGCCAGCTCCGGATGCAGTGGGCCAATTCCATATCGCCAGCTCCGGATGTTGTCCATGCATGCGTGGACCCGAACACATGCCAGAGAGAATGTCAGAATATATCTACGAGGTAAGAGGTAGACATAGCAAATTATCGAGGCGATGTGATTAATTTACGCACCCATGAGGTGAGGTTTCTTGAGTGGACAAGACGATGAGCAAGAAACACTTTCAGAGGCTGAAAAGTGTTTCTGGCTGTTTGGTCGCAAGTGCAATGCCTCTATTCGGTCTAGAGGGGAATCAACTTTTCAGCTTATGAAAAGTTGTTTTTTCACGTATTCCTTGGCCAAGAAAAGAAGCGCGCCAACGTGATCTGTTAGGCAAAGGTACGAGCCCAGTAATTCCCCAAACCTAATCGACGACGAGATGGCGAGGTGCGAATTATTGTAAATTGGCCAGATATATGTCAGATAGAATGCCAGAACGAATGCCAGAACGAATGCCAGGTAGAGTGTCAGAACATATATGGCAGATAGAATGCCAGAAAGAATCTTAGAAAAAATGTCAAAATAGATGTCAGATAGAATGTAAAAATAGATGCCAGATAGAATGCTAGAAAGAATGTCAGAACATATGCCAGAAAGTATGTCAGATAGCATGTCTGAGTATATGCCAGAAAGAATGTCAGATAGAATGGCACAATATATACATATATATTAATTACTATATTATTGATACATATGTATATACATTTCCAGAAGATAGATATGTCAAATTGTCAGAAACTATGGCAGACTAGTGCGTCAGGGTGGGGATCGCTCGAAGTAAAGTAATTGTGAATATATCTATGGGTTTCATTAGGATTTATTGACTAGTGGGGATACAATGGGATGTAGACAACCAACAATATGATATGGTTGTGTTTGACAATGGGGGATAATAGCACCCCCGTTTTATGCAAACTGTATGTCCGGGGAAATGATTATTATCCAATCGAGTAAATACATGGATGGGCTAAAACCAGTGTTTTGCCCAAATGTTTGGGGGATGGATATCCATAAGCACCAACTATTTTGACTTGAAAACCAGGGCACCAGGGTTTTGACCCATAGCCATGTTGATTATGTGTGATAACTTGCGTGATTCGCATTCTGCGATTTGACGGGCTTTTAGACCTGTTTGGTCCAGTATGAGACGAGAAAGCAGATGCTTTCAAGCAACCAATAAGATACGAAGTCCCCAAACAAAATTAGTGTGACAACTCCTCGGTCTGTGCACTGTTTGAACTAGGTGTGCATCCCCAGGAATTGGATGATGATCCCAAACTGGTTACAATATGTTCAGTGGGTTGAAACCAGCGACCAGCAACGCAGTGCGATTTTTGGTAAGAGTTATCAGTTGGGTCGGCGGAGAGACATTACCTTCTAAATAATTCCCAAATCTATGTTGATGGAAGGATAATTCGGATGTTTTTTATTATGTGCAAATCCTTCAGGGAAAACCACATATGTTAGAGTGTTTACCTGTTCTTTTCTCACGGAATTGAGGGTGAAGTCAGCACCGAGTTTCAACAGATACGTGTATGTATATATATATATATATACGTCATTATCATATTGCATTCTTCCACTTACATGATGCTATCGCAGGATGTATCCTAGAATTGGTTTCAGGGAGTTGGTTTAAGGGAACATCTGCAGGAAATCCCTGTAGTTGCAGGCAAAAATAAGACTTTTCCAGCACATGTTCATAGATTGTTCATACATTTTCCCTTAAATCAATCCATTGATTCATTGATTGTAGCCATTTTTTGCACGCAGGATGCGCTCTATTCCCTGCGGGAGCTCTCACCTGATTTCTCGGTGCGGGAGATTTTGGGCCTCACTGGCGATCTGGCCATCGTCGTAAAAGTCCCATTGGCTCCAGCACTGGGAATGCTTAGAGCTGTGACCTTCAACTTTGTGACACTTGGCTGTGAGATAAGATACAGATGATCCATGATGATCCTGATGCTTATGGTTCGTTTATTGTCTGATGCTGAAGCATACAAACCCCTTATTATTTTGGGGTTTGTTTTATATATGTTCCTACCATAGCCATTTCCGTTCAAGGATGGGACGTGGCAAAGGTAAGGGACGTGCCGTTACTGATGGCGAATCCGCGGCTGCTAAAGCCGAGGACAAACCGGAGACTCAAGAATCTGATGGAATGAAGAAAGGCAAAGGGAAACAAAAGGGTAAAAGCCCTAAAGGAAAAGGAAAAGGAAAGCGTCAAGAATCCTTTATGGACAAGTTCAATCGTTCACAGGCTGACAAGCGTCATGCTGAGAACGTAGGCAAAGAGAAGCAGGAGGAGAAGGCGAAGAAGCCTCGTTTAGAGGCGCCTGATCTTACTGCCAACGTTATGCCAGCATTTGGTCTGAATGGAGTGGTGCTTACCGATTTCCTGGCTATGCGTTGTGCGCTTGTGCGTTCATCGCAGATGCTCCTTTCCGTTGCCAGAGCGAGGTATGTCCAGATGACTTCATTGTTTGTTACAATGTTGAGCTTCTGTGGCATTGGCGTGATGCGGATGCTCTCGATGCATGGCCTCGGAGCTTTCCGTGCATTGGGGTCAGTCAATGAGGATGCTGGTGTTTACGCCAAAATCAAAGAGTTGACTTCAATGTGCTTTGTTGCCAACTCGCAATACTTCCTATTGGATTCGATTGGCAAATGCACTGTTGAAGACAGTGAGGTATGGGCTACACAGTATTATGCTGTGTTAGTGCCTATGTCTGATGAACTCAGTGCAGGAACCAAGGATTACAATTGGAACAATACTTCCGCTGATGAGAATGTGTTCCGTGGAAGTTTTCGCTTGCGAAGAATCCTTGGTTGGTGTCAATTTCTGGGCCCGAAGATGCATCCAGCGTTTTGCCACATCATTATGGTGGCTTTCAGTTATAGGGCTTCATGGGAACAGCTTACACACATCATTGACAACGTGTTCTTCTATGAAGATGGCCCTCCTGTTCGGACTTACAGGGACAACATCGACAGGTTTATGACACCTTTGGAACAGGTGTACCGTCGATTGTTGGTTCCAGGCGCTTTGACAGATGCGCAAATGGAGTGCATGCAAGGTTTTGGTTCAAACCACCCCTCGCTTTCTGTGTATCGTGAACGGGTGCGGAGAGCCATTGACCTGAGTGGGTTTTGTGATTTAACCCACGGGTGCGGCATTTCAGACTTTTCATCCGATTTGACCATACCTTTGAGCTGGGCTCTGCTGCCATTTGATTGGCCACTGTCAGCTCTTGATTTCGGACGGGTTACATCGGCGATTTTTATTTGACATTCAATTCAAATTCCTATTTTGCACCTCAGCTGTCTTTGACCTTTGGTGTGTTTGCCCTTGTATCACGGTATTGACCTTTTCTTTGGATTACGAGCCTGGTATCTACTGTATTGGTTTGCCCTGGTAGTTTGCCTCCTCATTCATTGATTGTCCTTTACTGTTTTCGCTTCTGCCAGTGTGCGTATCACTGGGATACTCAATTTGGTTCGTGCACCTTTATGTGCAGCTTCCTACACGTGTTCCTGGGATTTACAATCCTTTTTACATTCATCAAGGATTCCATCACTCAGTACGACTACGAGAAGGAAAGCGCGCAGAGACAGAGCCAAAGCCAGACGCAATTGGTTTTTGCACAAGAAGGGTTGGATCAATTTGACCAAACCTGCCTTGAGGAAGATTTGGAAAATTTTAAGCCAGCATCACAGCAAGGACTATTTTTTCCTTACCCAGATCAGCAAAGCCATGAATTTGAACGAGGAAGATCCGAACGATGCCTATTACCCGTGGAAATGCAGCTGCGGACGTATCAACAAGAAATGGGCGACAACATGTGCAATCTGTTGGGGAAAGTGGACAGATGGCACTCGTCACCCCACTCGGCCGAAGAATCAAGAAGCCCACGAGTGGAATGCCTACACGTGGGACGATTGGGAAGACAATGCGAGCTGGGCATCAAGTCGATCGACCAGCCGGACATCTACAAGGTATCGGCTGGATGGCGATGGCCAGCCTGGCCAACAGAAGCCTTTCAAGAAAGGCAAAGGGAAAGGACAGGGGAAGGGGAAGAAAGGTCCTTCAAAGGGATTGTCTCAGAACAAAGGCAGCCAAGTGGAGCATGTCTCACCCTTCCAGCAAGGGGAGAGCTTTGCGCCTTGGACCCCTATGGACATCTCTCAGTTTGGATCCATCTCGGCGCCACCTGTGAACCCATTTGCCAGCCAGATGCCAGCCACTTCGAGCAACGAGAAACAGGAATTTCTCGACCATCTTCGGAAAGCCTATCCAGATCCGAATACAATGCCAGAAGAAACAAAACAGTTCATCGCCAAAACAGAACAGGAAACAGGAAGAATGGGAATCAAGAGCTTACACCAAGCTACCAAGCATTTGGGGAAGGTCAAGAAACACCTTGGCGAAGTTGCCGACCAGCGAAGGGCACACAGATCCCTATGGATGGCCCATCTCGCAAACGGCATCAAGCTTTGGGAGAAGCAACTCGAAGATTATCGGAAACATCAGGCCACGTTGACAGAACTGGCGGGCAAGGCCAGATCAGAAGTCACGGCAACAAGTCGAATCATCCAACAATTGAGCAGTGCGACAGCAGGAGGATCTCAAGCTCCCCCACCGCCGCAGACAGAGGCGGAGGAAGCACCAGAAGATCAGGTGGACAAGGAGGAGGAAGCTCTGAGGAAACAGCTTCAGGGAATCCTCCAAAACTGTGCAAGCTCGTTGGGATTGGAGTTCGACCCACAAAAGGTTGTGGAGATTCAAGATCCAGAGGTTGCGGAGGACGACACACAGCGTCAAAAGCGGCCAAGGGCTTTGGAGCCATTTGGACCGTCATCCAAGCAGTGATTGTCGGCCGTGTTAATGAAGTTCAAAGGAATTCATTACATGAGGCCTGTACTGTGCAGCCTAATGCATCAATCGTTGAGGCCTATCAAATTGCCAGTGAGCCATTTGGTGCAGCATGCGATTGGTGGGGCGATCTCTCACGTTACCTTTTGCCTTGGAAGCATTCCATCATGGATGAAATCCGATACATTAGCCCGTTTCAAGCCAGCCTGAATGCTTTGAATCTCCAATGGGAAGTTGGGTTTGACCTTCTTTGTTCTCAGCCATTTTATCACAATCCTGCACAGCTCATTTCTGCACTTCGCACTCCAGCTCCATCTCAAAGGTCCTATTCCAAAAACTTTGTACAGAGAAGTGTTAGGTTTGAGGATCAGATTGATGTTTTGCTCGGTGATGATGATGATATAGAAATGAGTTGCTTGCAAGTTGCACAGATTGCCCTCGTGAATTGGCCAGAGAAACCTTGGAGCGGAAGGCGCATACGAAAGATTAACCATCATCCAACCACATCTCAGGCTCCGCTGTCACAAGTGGCCGTGTTGAGCCGAGATGAGGAAATCGATGTTGAGATCACTTCATTTGTTCAAACCATTCAATCCAAACATGATATCTATAATGGAAATGAAGCCAATCTCATGGATGCCATTTCGAGTGGTCAAACCGGTACTGCCCATATTCCAATTGCAAATCAGGAAGGTGACACTAGTATTTCCGACTGCGTCTGAAGAGGGGCCGAGCTCAGTCGCAAGTTCTGGAATACGTCCACCGAGCTCTACAAATGAAAGACAAGAAGTTATCATGTTTCACATTCATGATCCACCCCTGAGAGCCTTTTTGGATTGGAGCAGTTACGATAATATGATCAATGAGATTGCTGGACATTACGCTACCATAGTTGAGAATGTTGTGGATGCGTATGAGATCAATGCGGACCTCCAGGGTATCCCACCTGATGCAGTTCCAATCATTGTACATCTTTTCCCGGATACGGCTGTTGCGCACACTGCCAAACTTGTTCTGTTTGATGTGGAATTGCACGCCCATAACTCAGAACCAGGGTTCCGGCTAGGGCCCAAGACACAGCGTTTTGTTTTGCCAGTACCTGAGTGGATTGACAGAGCTTCAGTTCTCACTTTGGCAAATTCAGACGTCTACTGTCAGATGGAAGGGGATCGATGTTTTGTTTGGCATGGCAATCAACGATGGCAAGACACTGACCTGCATGCACGACGCATTGCACATGGAGATTATTTCAGAGTTGCATTACCACCAACTGAGCGTTTTACATGCACAACTCAGCAGATAGTTGAGTGGACACAGAATGGACTTTCTGATACCGATATTCTCCACCGTCTTGCTGGCCATGAAGGCAATGAAGGTTACTCACCTAGCTTGTTGGATGAGGAAGAAGTCAGACAACTGGCTACTGTGAATATTGAAGTGGAAGACCCTGATGCGGACCATTTTTCAACCTTCCAGATTCCCTCTGATGGCTCAACCACTACATTCAAACAACCATTGCAGGACGTCACGAACTTTTTTCATGATGTTTCAAAACTGCAAGTTGGAAGTCATACTGAGAAGGACGAAGGTGATCTTTTTCTGGCCATGCAAAATCCCTTGAGGGAGGAGGCACACAACCATGAAGTTGACACCTTGAGTAGCAGTGGAAGTTCAGGAGACCGTCATTTGCAAGAGTGGAACCTGGATTTACAGCGGCTAGTGCAGCAACATGTCAATGGTTGCACTCCTAACCGTCCGGAAGAAGAGGAGCTCCTCTTCTCCGTCTATACTTGGTTCATCGATCATCAGTCGGGTTTTGCCTGTTTTCAGCCTAGGATAGCTTTCCTAGGAGGGGACCCTGCTGAGTGGAGAGAGGATCTCACCCATCCTTGGCGGTATCAGGTCATACCAGATGAGCCTCTATTCATTGATGTTGTCTCTCATTTTACTCCTCGAGCTGAAATTGAAGAGCACATCGCCCATGTTTTGTTATCGCAAGGGGCACAGGAACGAAGATCAACACTGGTCTCTCTTGAATTTCTT